ATTCAAGATATATAAAAAAAAAAGCATTGAACTCTCAATAAATTAATTGAGATTGATTAAAAAAAAGACTAATATAATAATAATTGAAACAAAAATATGATAGTGTTATTAATTATGAGAAGAGTAATTTGCAAGCATTACTGTCTGTGGTGTGCATTGTAAGTATTTTGGAATGCATGAAATCAATGAACTTTATAATAAAAAATTTCATTTGGTTAGTTGCTAAGCCTATTAATTAAGTCATACTCTATAAATAATTAGGTCCTATATATTAATCCTCTTTTCAACTTTTTCGAGGTATTATTATGTGAGATGAAGGGTTGACTAGGACAGTGGAAACTTATATCGTTTCATTTAAAACGTGTTTTAAATTATTAGATTAGATATATTTAACTGCTAATTAAAGGTCAAAATGATGGTTAACTCTCAATAGCGAACGATATAAGCAACATAATAAGACGAGATACGAGTCATTCATGAGTTCAGATCTAAACTCGTTTGATTAACGAACTGAACTCGAGTTGAGGTCGATCGTTTAGTTCATAAGCCTAGTTTGACTTCTTTTTGGGTCGTTAAAACTCATTAGACTTGAAAAAGTAGAGATTCTGTATAGTTTCTTGAAGTTTTAGTATGATTAATCGGCTTTTGTTAACAAGTCGAGATCGAGCTCGTTTATCAACTCATTAACTTAACATTGCCAAACTCGCGACTCGAGCACGAGTTTAAGTAACGGGAGTTCGATTTCGACACGAGAGTGCTACATGAGTAAAACAATGTTAAACAAAATTAAATCGATGCAATCTGGAAAAGAAATAAAAAAAAATAAAAAATAAAAAATATTGCCAAACTATTGCTTGGTGGATATAACGAACTCTCACACTTGAATTTAATGAAACTTGCAATTTACTTTACCAAATTTCATTTAATGTTGACCACACTATTAAATTATGCATCGTTACATAATTAAAATCTCGCCCACTCTATTCATATCCATGAACGTTGTATGTCGAGACTTTACAAGTTGCGAAACAGATGACATTAATAAGGCCCAGAAAATTAGAAATGCAAATTGTGGTTCAGTGGACAATTGGGCACGTTATCAGTTATGTTTGCCTAAGCTAAAGATAACATAACCAAGCATTTTTAATTCCCAAGAACATATAATACTACTATATAAAACTTAAACGGTCCGAGTTGAGTTCGAGCTCTTGATATTCGAAACTGACATGTTTGTTTATCAATATGCCAAAAACAATATAAAATCACATCAAAATTTCTATTATTGAGTCTTAACGAGCCGGACTTGTTAAGTAATTCAAGTGAGTCGAATCGAGCTGAGCTCGAGGCTTAACAAACTATGCCTCCTATTATTGAGTCTTAACGAGCCGGACTTGTTAAGTAATTCAAGTGAGTCGAATCGAGCTGAGCTCGAGGCTTAACAAACTATGCCTGAACTCGTGAACGGCCTCGTTTTGTTTAGTTTAGCATTTACTACCGCTGGGATTAGGAAATATTTCCTAGAAGAAAATTATAATGGGAAAAACAAATATAATGTTCCTCCAATAGGGAAATATATTTATGCATTCATCTCTAATTTTCTTTATGTACATCCAGAATATATATACATAATAAAAATAAAAATAAAAGAACCAAACAAATTAAAGGCTATCTTCGTCACTACCTCAATAAAGTAAAAGTGAAATTAAAGTAACAAAATCTAGCCTGCCTGACACAAGAAAAATCTTCCCAACACATGAAAATTGACTAAAATATTCTATTTTCCACGTCACCTAACGGTGATCCAGCCATCGGACACAGACCAGTCAGGGCCCCGTTCAGACACAAGCTTAGCCAGACGCGCCGCCGCCTCCGTCTTACTTGACGGCTCATTCGGAGACCAAAGGTCAACTTCCCCGAAATACCCCTGCTGGGGCGTACACGTAATTGGTGAACAATCCGAAACCCACTCCTCCGGATAATCGAATATGCACCGCGGGGAAATCGAGGCGGAGGCGCCGCCCTCATCGCCGCCCACGAACGGATGTCCGAGTAGCATCTCCGCCGTCCACCTCCGACTGGGATCCTTCACGAAGCACTTCTCCAGAAAATCCCTCCCTTCGCCGGATAAATTCCCCGGCGCCTCCGGCACACGGTCGCCGACGCCGATCCTCATCATCAGCGCCGCCGCGTCGGAGAATCCCCCCCACGCCGGTCTCCCTGTAGCCATCTCCGCCACCGCGCATCCCAGCGCCCAAACGTCCGCCGCCGGGCCCTGCTCCCCCCCGGCCACCATCTCCGGCGACATGTACATGGGCGTTCCCCGCAGCTCACAACCACCGGGCGTAGCTGCACCGCCGCCGCGCCTCGCCAGTCCAAAATCGGCGATCCGAACCCCTCCGTCGGCTCCCAGAAGCACGTTCTGGAGCTTGACGTCGCAGTGGACATAGCCGGACCCGTGTATGTGCTTCAGCCCCCGGAGCAGCGCCCTGGTATATCTCCGGATCTCGAATTCCGGCAATCCCTGACCGCCGGACTTCTTTACCCGGTCGGCGAGGGACCCGCCAGAGGCGTACTCGAGCAGAACATTATAAAGCCTCTCGCCCTTCTCCAACGAGAAGCTGTCCCCAAAGCACCGTATGATTTCCGGACAACCTCCGATTTCCTGCAGAACCGATTTCTCGTTCGAGAGCGACGAACAGAAGGAGGCCCCGCAAGATTTCACCGCCATAAGCGGCGGCTGAGAGGGGTTGCCGCCGCTCGAAACCGCCAAGCTCACGGTGGCGAAACTACCCTGACCTAATTTATGACCGCGAACCCAATCCATAAGGAAACTTCCAATGATTTGTGTTTTTCTTATTGATTTTGTTCCGTTTCAATCTTTTGATTTCGCGTGGAGAATAAGTAAAAAAAAAAACAGAGAAAACAGAGGGTTTTTTT